TTTAACAAATATTAATTTCATGAGAAAATACAATGTATATATAGTACTGAAGAATATATATATATATTTAGTCAAGTTTAGTGCTCTTAATCAAATCCGGATTTCTTATTGATTGTACTACAAACATTACAAATTATGAACATCCAGTAATAGCAATGTCTATTTAAAGCTGGGTGACTGCATTGAGTGTAACGTTGCATTTTACACAGACATTGTGTTAAAGTTACAGTCCCAACTACTGTATTCACAAGGTTTTAATTTTGCTTATTTCGCTGACTGGAAAATACGCTAAATTAAAACCTAGTGAATATGTAAAATTTAGCATAGAACACATTATCTAAATCATAAAAACGGTGAATTTAAAACCCACTGAATACGCCTGAAATGGTAAATCAGCGAAATTTAAACCTAGCGAAAATTAGTCATTTTACAGTATACGTGAAACATATCACTCCCAGAATAAACTAAATATATGAAATGTGTAAAAATAATACTGTTTTACAAATCAGGCTACTTTATACTTTATTTTAGATGGAATTTTCACTGAAAAGACTTTTTTGGTGTTTTGTATGGAATTTATTTTCACTGATTTTGACGAGTTAAATGTAAAATATAGGCAAAAAAGTATATTCGGCGGATTTATTTTCACTGAATCATTCCTTCAGCGAAAATACGAAAATTAGTTCCAAGCGAAAATAAAGTATTTTACAGAATGTAACAAGCTTGCTTTAATTCATAATATGCAGTTTAATTTTCATTAATAATCAAAAAACATGATATTTGATGGTATATATACATTGGTCAGTAGATGGCACTTCACAATTTACAAAGTGGGAATTCAACTTTAGTTGCACATGCAAGAAAACAGGTAACCATAGCAATTAACCCATTAACCACCAAAGCCAATATTTGTCTCTTTTCACAAAATAAACCTGCATAATTGTGTTGCAAAATCTGTGGCCAATTGGTCCAAAATTAAAGAAATTATAAAAAAATATGTAAAAAATATGCAGGATATTGCGTAAGAATTTTTGCATGAAAAATTATGTCTCAAAGAATAAATTTAAGTATTACAGAAGAAATAACATGATAAATTCAATATTATTGCTTGCACAATTAAAATTTCTTCACAAGACAACAGTTTCATTAATTATTCTTCTAATCAATGCATGATTAATTTAAAGATTGTTAAATTCATAATTTTGAAACTCCACTATCATCATCACAATTAGTAATGTTGTGAAAGATATTTGTTTACAGTACAAATATTATGAGGTTATTACGTCACAAAGGCTGTTAATGCCTAAGTACTGACAAGAGTTCCCTCTACAGCTTTTTGTTCTAGTCAGAGATTCTGAGATCCGGATGCCAGACCGACACGAGTAGATATTTTCCTTATAGAGTACATATTTGAGGTAGTCATGTGAGAACCTTAATATTGTTGTACATTTTTTTTCCTTCTGGTGGTCATAATGTAGTGAGAGATAACTAGATAACAGTTCTAACTATAAACAGATTTTCACAGTGCCAATGTGATTGTTCAGTAACATGCCACATTATTGCTGTGTCCAATGAAATCAAAGTAATATGTGGGAATGTGAAAATTAATTTAATTTAATAATATGTCACCTGCTGAGGATGATCAAGGTTTCCAGCAAGCGGCATTTTGAAAATTGGAATGAATGCAAAATATCGAACAAATGCAAAAATGGTTCCAAAAGTTTTTCATTTCAGTCATGGCGGTGATGTCGCTTCTAACTACATCCTAGTACGTCCATGCTACATCTGACCAAATGCCTATGCAAATTGCAAGTAGACAGCTCCTCCCGTTCAAGCCTTTCTAGAAAACGTAGCCTGAAAAATATAAATCGGTTGCTGATCCTGCGAGATCTGAATCTGATTAACATAAAACATATCATAATTGTGAAGTACAATCAAAGATCTATAAGAGGAATGTATGTTAGTTTGATACCAAAGTACGATGATATGGGATGAAAATCCTATTATGTACATGTATGCGGGTCAATCAATGGACAAATGGGAAAGATTTGATTGCATAAAAAAATGAGAAAGATTACACACTTTGCAAAATGTCCTGAGATGAACACTCAACTAGTTCTTTCACAGACTCATTCATTTGCATTGACATGTCTAGATGTTTGTTTAATTGTTGTGCGATTTTGGAATCAATTTGTAAGAAACCATTTTCTGTTCAT